ATCACTTCGACTCGTGCGCTATTGTACACCCAGTATCTGTAATTCAAGTATTTTTGAAATACCGTATAACCTGTAATAGAAGGTTTCCCACACTGTCAATTTTGAGCTTGATTATCAAAAATGTATCAACTGATAAAATTTTTGTGGCACTATAATAAACAACTTATCAGTTGACAACTTTTCTATATCTTTGACAGGAACCGAGATAATTTGGGTCAAAGTTAAAAGTTTCTGTTCTTACGTAAATGTCAAATTTCCAGTCGAATTCTGACAATTGATAGGTGATGAGTAGAAGATTGCATGCTGCTCTTCTCGTTTCTTATCACCCACAAATATCATTTTGTCTCCTTGTTGAATTTTCGATGGTCCGGGACCAACACGAAGAACTGGGAATTCGGTGTAATCGCTCCTTCTTATATTACGATGAACACTTTATCAGTTGACAGCTTTTTGATATCTTTCCCGGGGACAGAGATGAAACGACTTAAAGTTAGATAGATCCTTTGACTAATGGATACGGAGGAAATGGATCAGTTTATAAAAACAACGAATGCATTTGAAAAAAAAGAAACTAATAAACATTTTGAAACAGTATTTGAATAAGTTAGATCTCTTCAGCAATGATGCCAAATTTAGACTGAATTGTTTTTGTTTTCTGTAAACGATATCAGAAAGAGGTCAACTGATAAAATGGTTATCATAAAATTTCACATAATTTATCAGCTAACTAATTTTTGATATCTACCACAAGAACAGAGATAAATTGGATCAAAATTGGGTAGCACCTTTTATTTTAGGATTCATAACAAATCTACAACGAATGCATATGAAACTAATGAACAGTTTGAAACAGTTTTCGAAAAAGAAAATTAGAGATCCTGCATCAATGATACGGAGCTTAGACTTAAAGGTGGGGGGGGGGGGACATGAAAAAAAATAATGTTCTCGAAATTTCGTTCAAAGATGCCCCTCGAGGAGTTGAACTTGTGAGGGCGATGATTGAGGGTGCGGCGCCGCTACCGACTGAGCCACGCGGGCAAAGAGAAAGCGGACGCCCGATTGCAGACATAAAGGCGAGGACGACAGCTGTACGCAGAGTGACATTTAGCGTTGTACACCGTGACGGTAGAATGCATACTCTAGCTACAAAAAAACTACGAAAAATCTCCTGTCCCCCCACCTTTAATTTATCTCGATTCCCATGAAAGATAACAAAAAGTTGTCAACTAATAAAATTTTTATCATAAAATTACACACATTTTATCTATTGACCACTTATCGCGACGTTTTGCAGAAATTGAGATAATTGAGCTCAAAAAAGGGCGTTCTAAATATTAGATCATTTACGGTAAAATAAATAGCATGCAAATTCGCTCTAATGAGAAGACGGTATCGCTCAATCAGTTGAAGGAGAAAACTACTAAATAGTGTATTTCTTTTTTTATGAATAATTCAAACTGAGATTTTTTTTCGGTAATTTTGATATCAATTTGCTGATTAAAAATTTCCGAAAAAAAATAGACTTTCTTGAAACGGAATTTACCGATCCATGATTTTACAATTTTGAATTCAATATTTTGAATGTAATGCTAATTTTTTGACCTCAAAGGAAATTGTATGCTCTAGAGCATAATACCAAGTAAGAATAATCTCGTAAAACCTGTATTGGAAAGGCCGGCACTTCTATTTTTCCAAGATACCTCCCGGGGGCCCCTCTATTACAGGGGCCCTCCAGTTGGAGGGGGCCCTTCTATTTTTGCGGCCATTTTTCGAAAAATTCGAAAAATTCGACAAACTGAAATTTTTAAATTTAAAAACAAATTTTGAAGGGGCTCCTCTTAACAGAGGACTCTTACGGGGGCCCTTCTATTAAAGGGGGCCTTCTAATAAAGGTTTTACGGTAATTGGAAGTTCGAATATAAAAATTATATTACTTGAATTATTGGAAACATTAGAAGTTTGCAGTCAATAGTATTATAAAACATGAATGCATTTGAAACTTATGGATATTTTGAAACAGTATTTGGGATAGCTAAAGTTAATTGGTACCAAAATTAGACGCAACTTATCGGTTCCTGTAAAAGACATCAAAAATGGTCAATTGATAAAAAATATTTGATAATACGACGATCATTTTATCAGTTAGCCACTTTTTGATATCAGCAAGACGAATCGCGACAAATTGGCTCAAAGTCAGGAGGGACCTTTAATAAAGGTGGCAATCGAAAAACTATTTTTTAAAAATGCTTTTGGAACTAATGAACATTTTGAAACAGTTTTCGAAAAAGTAAAATTAGAGCTCCTGCATCAATGATACGGAGCTTAGACTTAATTTATCTCGCTTACTGTTTCAGATATCGAAAAGTTGTCAACTGACAAATTGCTAATCATAATATCAGCAACATTTTATCAATTAACTAATTTTTGATATCTCTTGCAGAAATTGAGATAATTGTACTCAAAAAGGGGCGCTCTATTTGAGCGAGGTTTGTAAATGCGCTCTAATGAGAAGACAATGTCGCATTCAATTAAGTTGAATGAAATTCGATTAGAATGTTAATAATTCAAATTTTTTCTGTTTTCTTTTTAAAGGTGGGGGGACATGAAAAAAATAATGTTCTCGAAATTCCGTTCAAAGATGCCCCTCGAGGAGTTGAACTTGTGAAGGCGATGATTGAGGGTGCGGCGCCGCTACCGACTGAGCCACGCGGGCAAAGAGAAAGCGGTAGCCCAATTGCATACATAAAGGCGAGGACGACAGGTGTACGCAGAGTGACATTAAGCGTTGTACACCGTGACGGTAAAATGCATACTTTAGCTACAAAAAAACTACGAAAAATCTCCTGTCCCCCCACCTTTAAAGAAGGTTCTAAAACAGAGATTTTTTGACAGTTTTTCAAGTCTTCTTAAAGAAATCATATTTAATTTGTACTGTCTATTGAATTCGCAGATTAAAAATTAGTTATTTTTAAAGAAGAAGAGACTTTCTTGAAACCGGAAATACGGATTTTCGATTTTGCACTCCAAAATGGCAAAGTATTATAAAACATGAATGCATTTGAAACTTATGAGCATTTTGAAACAGTGTTCAAAAAATAAAGTTTAACATTTAGAAATTTTCAGGGCCAACTGATAAACGACAAGCTGTTTACATGGAAAAACGCTCAAAAACTGGCACAAATCGGAATGCCGTTCGACGATCGTGAACAGCTTCTAGACGAGATCCAACTGGAATTCGAATTCCTCGCAGACAACATCTGGCAATTGAATATGTTCGCGTGTTGGATGTGTGATTTGTGTCGTCGTGCTCCTCAGCTGAACGACGGTTTGGCTCAATCGTCAGCTGCGAAATTGACCACAATCAGTGAGCAATTGAACAGGCTCCTTTTCGTGCTCGTCTCACAAAGTTTCATTGTTTCCGTTCAGCCGGAACCGGTTTTGAAGACTCAACACAAGTTTGTGACTGAGGTAAGCTACTTGCACCTTGAGCTCAATTATCTCGATTTCTGGAAAAGATATCAAAAATTTGTCAAGTGATGAAAAGTGTGAAATTTTATCGCCAACATTTTATCTGTTGACAGATTTTTGATATCTTTTACAGAAAATGAGATAGTAGAGATCAAAAAGGGGTGTTTCGCTGCCGGTCGTGAGCTTTTTTTGTTTGAATGTCTGTGAGTATAAACCATCGACTACAGTACCCCAAAAATAGACAAAATTAACACAACTTTTGGGTAATTCTGTATTACAGTATGCCTGAGAAGCGGGTGTTCTGAAAACACGTGTTGAAAAATGATTTGGAATGGATCAGTAGATCATACCGAACAGTAGTGGAGTACTGTAAGAAGCCTTAAAGGAGGATAGTATTATGAAAAAGTGCTAATGTTGTATTTTCTTCAAGCGATAAGAGTACTGAAAATAATAAAACTATCTAAAACTTTGCAGATACCTGAAACAGAATTTTTTTCGAAAAAAAAAATATAAGGCACGTTGAGCTCAAATATCTCAGTTCCCATAAGAGATATCAAGAATGTAATCACAGATAAAATGTGTGAAATTTTATCACCAACATTTTATTAATTGACAGAATTTTTGCATCCCTCACAGGAATTGAGATAATTGGGCTCAAAAAGGGTTGTTCCGCACCGACCCAAATAAATAGGTAAAATTAACAACGGGCTACTGTACCTCAAAGAGGAAAAATACAAGAAAAAAGATTCTAACTTTTTTTTACTTGCACTATTAAAATTGACAGTGAGCATAATTCTCTAAAACTTTGCAGACGTTTGAAACAGAGTTTTTTTTGGAAAAAAATGTACTTCCAATTTAAGCTCAATTATCTCAGCTCCTACAAGAGATATCAAAAATGTGTCAACTGATAAAATGCTCGTCATAATATCAGCTATATTTTATCAGTTGACAAATTTTCCATATCACTTACAAAAAGTTAGAAAAATTAGGTTAATCAAACCGACGTGGTACCATGGGTTAGTGTATGACCTCAAACTTTTGATAAGAACCTGAAGCGGTATTTTTTTCTCAACGACGGGTTTTTCTAAAATTGGACCTCAATTATCTCAGTTCCTATAAAAGAAATCAAAAATCTGTAAACTGATAAATTGTTGGAAATTTTGTGATAAACATTTTATCAGTTGGCCAATTTTTCATTGCTCTTATAGAAATTGAGATAAGCAAGCTCAAAAAAGGACTGTTATTAGAGCGTTCACGGGGTCATGCAAATAAGCTCTAATGAGAAAAGGATGTCACATATTTTCTGTCGATACAGAAATGAAAGTAATTAATAATAGTTTTTGAATTTCTTGTTGGTTTTAAGAAGTGCCTAAAACAGAGATATTTTTGAAAATTCTCCGGAAAGAAATACCGTAAAACCTGTAATAGAAGGGCCTCCTAACGTGAACTTTAGGCCATTTTATCTTTGCAACTGTCAAAGATATGATAAAAGTTGTCAAAGATAAACTTCTTATCATAATAGCACCAACATTTTATCAGTTGATCAGTTTTCGGTCGAAATCTTCTCGGATGTACCAGTTGTTACTGTATCGCTTCAAACTTTTGATAAGAACCTGAAACCGTATTTTTTTCTCAAAAACTATTTTTTTGAGAAATTAGAGATCTCGGTTTGTTTAAAACTAAGATTTCAGATTTTTCCAAACAAAAAATGATACTTTGAGCTCAATTATCTCGGCTCATAAACGAGAAATGAGCAATTTGTCAACTGATAAATTGTTTATCATGATATCAGCTACATTTTAGCAGTTGAAAAATTTTTCATATCTCTCACAGAAATTGAGATAAATGAGCTCAAAATGGACGTTCTGTAAGAGGTGGGATGCAAATGCACTCTAATGAGAGAAACTTCACACTTTTCAAGTTAAAAATAAAAACGGACTAATAATTTAAATTGTTTTCCCTGTTTTTCATGAAGAAACTGAAACAGCTATTTTTTTAACCGAATTGTGTAAAAAATGAATTTTAGGAAAATATCTTCAAATATTAGATCCGAAAAAAAACTATTTTTCAGGTCCGTCTCCTAATCGGTGACAAATTGGGCATTCGTCAACAACTAATGAATACAAACGTTTCGGTGAAAATCATCGCTGAAGACGAGGCCAGAGTGATGAGTGTCGATTGTGATGCGCAGAAGGAAATGTTAGTTTTTTTGAATTTGGAAACTGTATTCAATTACTAGAAAGATTAATAACTGTATTGGTATTTTACATACTTGTAAAATTCCGGGCCGGGCCGGGCCGGGTCTGAAGAAATTTTTAAGGTCCGGGCCCGGCTCGGAAGGCCCGGTGTCAAAAATTCTGTTTTTTTGAGCCAAATTTTGAGCTCTCAACATAATTTTTCCCATTTTTTGTCGTTTTTTGGATTGTTTGTCTGTCTGATCAAAAAAGATCGAAAAAACTCGAAAAAAAATTTTTGCTCGAAAGAAAATCACATAAGGGTCCCCCCTTATGTGTTTTTTGAAAATTTCGAAACTAGTGAAATGACGGGCCCAACGGGC